TGAAAGTATTGCTGCGGTTTGTCCTGTGAACATGAGTGTAGTATTTAGCTGAGTGAGGTTTGTTTCATGACCTGAAACCTCTTGGACAGAGCACACAAGAGTGTCAGCATTTGTATCTAACTAGATTTCCTGTTGTATAAAGGCATGAGGCACATTTGGGGACCTCTTAGGAACTTTCCCATGGGGTAGAACACAGCATTTGGGGGTTTCTTCATAGCTTTTTTTAGGAAATGTGGAATTTTTTTTCTCCTTTGCTGTTGAGCTTCTGATTAAAGTTAACGAATGTATTCAGAACAAGCTAAAATAGTAGTGCTCAACATTTTGCTGTGATGGAGCACACAAGAGCATCCTGCAGAGTGACTTGCCTGTGCATGCATGTACCCAGTGTGCCCCCATCCCCATATGCCCTAATGAAACCCATATACAGCTGTTTATCAACATTCAGCAAAGTGACTTTGTCCTCAAACAATTTAATTTTGCATTCTTAGGGCTAAAAATAACCAGGTAAGTGCAATAGTTGTGATTTATATTTGTGCGATTTAGTATGGCAAATCCCAATTTTTCTAGGCTTCTAAATTAATTTGTCAAAATGCGAAACAGGGCGTTTAATCTGCTCTGAATAGCTGTGTTGCTCCTATGAACATGAAATATTTTTCCTAATTTCATTTAACGGTTTTATTTTGGATACAAATAATTTTGTTAGTGTTGGAAACCCATGCACAGTAACATAGCTCTGATGTTGAAGAACTGAAACTCTAATTGATTGGCCTTGTCTCTCTGAATGAAGAGTGCAATGTAAACAAGAAAACACAAGCCATAAATGGTGAAAAGCTTACTTTTTGGATTATAACCTCCTGAGCCAGACTACCAAAAAATTGGTGCTAGGATTTAACCTCAGCATGAATACACACCGTTATTTTAATAGGAAACATACAGGTTTTTATCCTCTGTAATGGAGGTATTATTAAAGCACAGTGTAACTGTTCTGTGCTAAGTATGTGTTTCTTAGCACAAATTAAATTGTTCCTGGGCTCACATTGAAGTAAGGTAGGAATTTGTTTATATTAATATTAACAGGGTGCAAACTAAACTAAGTGCAATGGAAGTCTCTTTCTTGCTCGTTCACTCCTGGGGAAGCACTTCCAGCACCCCAAGGGAAACTTGTGTCCATCTCAGGCCATCCTTCTGCTAAGGGGGACTTGCTGTACATGCACTGATGTTCTGAGGTGGATGGTATGTGGTGCAGGCTGATACCATTAGGCAGGAGGTGAAGCATAATCCTCACATTAAGTGGCTTTAATAAAGGACCTCTGAGAACCCTTACCTTCAGGAAAGACATGATTATCTGTCTTCCATCTCTGAGGAAAAAAGTTTCTAAGCTTCTTAAGCATCATCTCAGGAAGAGTAGGAGGTTTTCTTGCCACTTTGGTTTTGTGAAGCAGCAGCCACAGATGTACCACGAGATGACAGGTTATAAATCTGGATTGCAGCTGTACATCTTGAGCCATGTGAATTCAGGCACAGTCAGTTCTTTTCCTTACTATATTTGTTTAAATGAAGTCTAAGACAAAGCTTAAAAATTTAAGAATACGTGAATATCTACAGCCTTAAATGGGAAATGTGTGTACCTGTTCATAGTGCTTTTTTTAAGTATGTTTTTGATGTCCCAAATAAGTCTGTATCTCTTAGTTTTAATTCATGAGCTCTGAAGAAATTTGTGGCTAGTGTTGTATGCAATGGCTAGTGCAGAATTCTGCATCAGGAATGTGAAAACTCTGGTCTGGTGTCTTCTTTTAGCATTCCTGTGCAGTTTGGCTTTTCTGCCCATAGGCAAATATCCTTTGCTGTGTTCAGGATCTTCCTTGTGGTGGAGACTGCTCTTACCAGCTGTATCCCATCAGGTCCTGATGTTGCTACTCTACCCAAATGGTAGTCACCTTGCATGGTCCTCTGTACCTGATGTAAAGCCATCTATAGTTAGAGACTTCAGTGAGATTTGTGTCAGACCCTTTCCCAGGAGCTGAAGCTACACCAAAGAACTCCCAATCCCACAAGAAATTGGAACAATCTCAAAACTCTCCTTGTTTGCAACTGCTTCCAGATCCCGTGGTATAGCTTATCTCATCCTGAGTAACACTGAGAACCAGAGCTTACTACTCCAAACTGAACCTAGAAGAGCTGAATCTGTTCTTTGCTTCTATTTTTATTCCCCAATGAAAAGCAGTACCTCGTACTTAATAGCAAACCTCTGATTTCTAACTGCAGTCCACTCTCAGAATCAAGGACTGGTTCCTCATTTTCATTTTTCCTAGACTTTTCCCATCATTTTGAGCCCGTGAATAAATTGCCCCTGTATTTTCTTGGCTATAATATGTCCTCATTGTACTTCACAGCTGAAATGAATTCTCGGAGGGCAGGAAACTATTTTCCCAAATGTATTTGTAGTATATCCTTATTTTCTTGATGAGGATGGACTCTTTAACTTTTCCTAGTTACTCATATTTACACATTTCTTAAGAAAATGGAATTACTCCAGTTCCTTGTTTTATCTGTATTACTCTTTAACAATATTCAGATACACATTGATCAAGGTGGTGAAACTGTTGCTATAAGAATCCAGCATTGAAAGAAGGGTGATTCTTTGATTGCTTCCTGAGATGCAAAAAGAGGGGACCGAAAGTGTTTTAGCAGTATAAAGTAAGCCAGTGTATTTTTGTATTTCAAATTGTTATGTAAAGACATTTGAAGCCTACTGTAGTTATTAGGCTTATTCAGATGGATCCAGGGATATCATGCAGAGCTGCAAAAAGCATTTTATGATTCAGGCTGGTATCTGGTGATGCAGTCTTCAGAAGAACTGCTTGATGCTTTCCAACAGCACTTTACATTTTCAGCTATACTAATCATTTTCCAAATACATTCTGAAAGGCTGGTAGCATTTCAAGAATGTGCAGAGTGAGGGAGTGCAGAATCCAACAGGCAGAGAGAGGTGAGGCAGCTCTGGTTCTGTGTCCCCAGGTCTTTTTGTATCTCCAAGAGGAATGTGTGCACTCTGTGTGTGTGTGTGTGTATAAACACGGTTACAGGGACACACAGATGGAGGATACACAGCTGTGGCACAAACAGGAGTGCTATCCATGCCTGGTTGGTTTCTCCTCTCCAGCTGTGTAAGATGAAAGTCAAATATAGACATCTATATAGCACATCTTTATACACAAATATACAGTGTATGTATGGACATATGTGTTCTCAGTCTAGCCTGCAGCTGCCCCTGGATTCCTCCCAGTCTCCCCAGCTGCTGGCACCTGGGCATGCAAGCCAGGGCAATTGCTGGTACCCCAAAACAGGGACCTCTCTGCCCAAACAGCTGCATTCAGAGCCTTGCACATACATGTGCAGGCAGAATAGACTGCCCACAGGGGTGGCCTCCTCCTGTGATAGCTTGGGGGATGATGAATGTCTGTGGTAATCAGCTATTAATCAGCTACCCTAATGAGGAGGCTCTGTGCTCAGAGCTGCTGAGGCTCAGGCTGCATGTCTCAACTGAGGTGTTCCTCCTACTTCTTTACTGGTGAGATAGGCAGGAACCCTGAAGTGAGGTAGTGCCTAAAGGTTGTGAATGCTCATTTCCTTAAGGACCCTGTTGAATATTTGTTACAGCATTGTTTGTCTTTCTTTCCTTTCTTTCCTTTCTTTCCTTTCTTTCTTTTCCTGGAAAGCTGAGTGTATATACGACTGCTTTTGATGCTTGAGTTTTGGGATTTTCTCCCACTGACTTCACACTGCTGGGAGAGGGGGGCTGCACAGACACAGCTTTTGAGAAACTGTAGCTGAAGCCGTGTGCCCCTGTGGCAGATCGTTGGGAGGTTTCAGGAAGGCTTTGAGCTATTCAGTGGGAAACAAAGAGAGCACTGGCTTGTCCTGGAAAGATGAGTCGGTACCCTGGAAAGAAGGAGCTCTTAGTATGTGTCATATTACTCTGAGTCAGCTTTATCACTGAGGAGATTTAATGATAAAAGCATGTTTATTCAAAATACAGATTTACAGGAATGGAATGTAGTCATTAAAAAAGTTAAAATCACAAAAACATATTGCTAAGGGTACACAACGCAAATTCTTCTTTTCAGCTTCAGCAATTTAGGTACTTTGTGAGGCTACTTTGCTCTTCCAGTGTGCTCTGCAAAGTACTTATAATTAAAGGATGAGTTATGGGGATCTGGCTTTGATTTCCAGAGAGAGCTGCTTTGGGTCATCTCCTCCATTGCTGGGAACAAGCTCCTGCCTCTTTCCTATGTAACTGGCCCTGGTCCCTGTGGAGGGTCAAAGTCACTCCCACCCACATCTCACCACCCTGGACTGATGAGCATTTCCTCATAGCAGTGGTTTAAATAGGCATTAAACTGCTTTCATTGTGTTTTTATGCTCAATGCAGCATGTGACTTAAGAGTTTTATTTCATGAGCAATAACAATAATAGATTCTTTTCTTCACCATATTGATTGTACTTGCTACTCTGCAGAGAAGCTACCCCAGGTCTGTAAACCCGTGGAAAGAGGAACAGAGCACCTGGACACTGATCTTTTCCTATCTAAAAGATTAATATCTACAAGGACCTGCCAGAGTCTGGTTTCTTACTGTTTGTTTTGTTTTGCTGGAAGTGGTCTTTGATGGAATGGAAATAATGCAGAAGGAACACCTAATGAAAAGGAAGTAAGCTTATTAGAAATTTTGAGCTTCAGATCTGTTTTTGGAACTTGAAGTAGTCAACACTTGGTTGAAATTAAAGTACAAGCCCCTAGGCTGAATTTGTGACTAAAACTGAAGGAAAGGATAGAAGTTAAGCTGACCTTCAGATGTTAAAAAATATTATTCTTTTTGCATTTAGGGTGAAATTAGAAAGGACTTCTGTCCTAAATGGAGTGAAATTAGTTGATCCAAGGTGACTTTTTCAGTTCACTGCACTGGTTGGCTGTCCTGTAGGATGAAACAGGTGAGGACCAGAATTGTGGGGCTAACATCACCAGGAAGGTGTATTGATTAGTAAGACTGGCAAGGTTGTCCTGAATAAACTGCATTTCAAATATCAGCATTTAGCCTGAAACAGTGAACCAGTCTTGAAATTAGAACAGTTTTCATTACATAATGATGGGAGTGCTTGAAGACAGATATTTGAGGTGCCAACCATCTGCTGCACCAACATTAACTGTAGTCTTCAGTTTTGATGTGCCAAATACCTTCTACAGCCTAAATGTCTGAGTCTGTGATTGTAATACTGAGATTTGCTTTAGTGTTGATAGTTGCTGCTGTGCACTGTCTTTCTCCATGTAAATAACATTATCCAAGTAGTTTGTTCCAGCTGCTGGCTCTCTTGGTAGGTGTCAGCTGGAAGCAATGCATTGGTACTAGAAGGATCACTGATAGAGCAAAATTGGTGTCATTGCTTCACTGCTTACTTGGTTGACTTTATCTCAAAATTTTTTTGTTAGCTTTGAGAACTATCTTATATAATTCTCTGCTGAGCTGCTGAAAGCTCTGGTGTCCTTGGTGGAACAGGTCTGTTCAGTTTTTCTTTCAAAATGCAAGGAAGTTCCCTAGGTCTATTGTGTTGCGAGCCTCTGGTAAGGATTTATTTATTTTTTTTACTGTAGAAAACACTGGATTGAAATGAAAAAAGCAAGAACTTGACCTTATTTTAAAACCAAATATTGATTTTTTTTCCCCCTACAGATAATGGGCTTTGGCTGTTGATAATCAATAATTCTGCCCTTTTGAATGTTTGTGGGATGCTACACTAGATGCGGAACAATTAATTTTTTCTACTGGCTGGAGAGGAATTTGAATGTTCTGCTGGGCAATGATTAGGCTTTATGGATCTTTCAACTCTGGTGAGACTCCAAAAATGTGTAAAAACTCTGTTTTGCAAATTAAGATCAGAAACTATTATTAGATTTTGTTTGTAGTTCAGGCATGATGTCATATTTGGCATAGTGCAAAAGAAAAACTCCCAGCTCGTGGATCTGTTCTTTCTCAGCTCGGTGTCTTCGGTGTTTGCTCTTGAGGCTGTCTGTCTCTCCAAAAGAGGAATGGTTTGTGTGATACCAGCTTTCTGAGGGCTGATTTAGTGTTATCACCCTCATGGGAAGAGGGACAGGAGGCTTTGTTTGGAGCTGGTCATGACTGCATGATTTCCAGCCAGCTTATCCTTAAATAAAAGTGTCACAGCTTTAACTTTTTCTGCTGGTATAAAGTTCTCTAAGGACATTCCAAATAGACAGCCCTGGGCTTTGTGGGAGGGGTACACAGGAGTTGCTCCTGCATTTTTTTGCCTCTTTTTCCAATCCTTTTATTTATATTGCTAAATGATAATGCATATTTATATATGTTAAGTGACTAATTTTGGGTTGAAAAAGACTTGTGGAAGCATAATATCACGAAAAAAACCCTTGTGTTTGGTTTTGTAAAGCATCACAGGGGACAATGTTCTTCCAAGTTCCATGAAACAGCAGTGTGTTAATGGCCCTTTTGTAACATCTTTTCCAGCCTTGCTTTTTCCCCTCCACAAGGAGGGTGAGGGCTGCTGAATTTTAGAGTAACTACGTTAAGTAGGAGTCACTTGTACTTGTGGAGTAATTTGGTCTGCATTAAGTATCTTTTTGGTTATTTGAAGTTTTCTGTAATATTTATTTGAATAAAGTTTGAATCTACAAAAAGCTTGAAATCCTCCTTTGTATTGTGACTATTTAAATGTAATCTACTTTTGCTACAATCAAATATAAACGAAGTATGTTCATTGGAAAAGCAAGTATAAGGAAAGGGGAATATTATTTATCATTCAGTTTAAAGAAGATTCTTTCAAACCAGTCACATGATCAGTTTGTAAGGACTTGCTAATTTTCTGAAATAATTATTTCTGAGTTCATTGACCAAGTATGCATAAGTGTTTAGCAAGAACATTGTAGCGTTTGCAGTTAAAGGTAAAATACATAATTATCAAATCACCGGTTTCTATGGTTTTTTTTGCTGGCTGAAACATCCTCCTTACTGCTGTCTGTAGAAATGTTTCCTTCTTCAAAATGTGGAGTTTCTCTCTCTTACAAGGTTGAAAAGTATGTGGTAGCTTGAGGGACAGAGGAGCCAAAATACAGTATTAGAATAATGGCAGATTTACAGCCTGGTAACTTACACATTAATAGAATCATAAAAGTAAGCCTCACACTACTAGAAAGCAAGCACTCCCCTCTTCCTAAAGGAATTGCACAAAATGTTTATAGCTATAGTGTATCCTGAAAGGAGGCATTTTACACCTCCTTGTATTGGGCAAAATCGAAGAAATACTAAAGAAGTGGACACTGAAGAGATAAACAGAAAGGTAAATGTTCCAGAGTTGTAATTTACCTTTGTAACTCCACATTAGAGCTACATGTCATGAATGAAGCAGCTCAGCCTCGCAGGCGTGTGGACAGAAAAGGCAGCCTGAATTTCCTGCACTGTGGCCATGGGGAGGTGGGACATTGCCATTAAAAATGACTGATGCTCCTGTGCCTCAGCCTCAGATGGCTCCTGCGAGGCTTTGCAGCATTCCCTGCGAGGCTTTGCAGCATTCCCTGCCGGAGAAGCGCCGTGTCAGGAGCTGGGGCCGGCCCTTGGGGCTGCTGAGGTTATGTATGGGAGGCTTTTGTCTTGCTGCTGCCCACTGCAGGTTGGAGATTCTCCTGGCTGGGTCTCACCGCAGAGATTAATGCAAACCTCCCCCGAATGGTAATGACTTACAGAAAGCACTTGACAGCTGAGTTTTGTGGAAGGCTTTTGTTGACATTCACTTAAGATAAACAACATAATTCCTCGGCAGTTTTGCAAGTCATGAGCAATGGCATGGTTTTGGATTATTCTGTTTAAAGCCTTTAGACCATAATGGCAGTGTGTGTGTTGTGCCAGTACTGTTATTTTGTACAGGCTTGTTCAAACGCTTAACAGGTGTCTTAAAGGCAGTAACACACCCAGAGCATTTTTAGAAACCATTATTGTATTGTAGTGTGCCATGAGGAGTCAAAATTAAACAAGTGTTCATCTTCTATGTTCCTGTAAAACTTCTGCCTCAAATACTCAGCTTAGCCTGGTAAATAGTCCTGATAGGGCCTGTCCCTCTTGCTATACATTCTACATTTTTTGCATGTGTAGTGAAGCATTTGTTCAACTCTTTCTGTGAAATATAACCAGATATTAAAATATCCAGTTTTCAGGGCTCTACAGAAAGTAACTGCTCATGAAGTACTACCTCACCTCTCTGCTTCAGTAGCTCTAGTCTGGATGGTCAGAATCTCACAGTGTTGCAAAGAATGGGATCATAACAAAGCAGCACCAAGACAGTTAACAAAGGTCACCACTCCACACACCCCAATGTTTTATAAGTAAATAAGCCATTTTAAAGCGTACACTTAGAAAAAAACAACAACGTTTTTTACTATGATAACTTTTTAAAACTAGCTTTAGGAGAGGTGAAGAATGTTCTCTGTAGAACTGTGCTCACACTGTTTTAGAAATGGCTTTCCAAATACAACAGCTGGATTTTGTACGTGTGTAAATGGTCTTGGTTTCTAACTAATGTAATACTTCAGCAGAAGAAATTGAGTATGAAAACTGTAATGTAAATATTTTTAATCTCCTGCTATCTATCTATCTATCTATCTATCTATATATATCTCAAGTTCTGAATGTGCTGTCAGATGCTATAGGCTAATGTTTCCTGAGACTCTGTGAGGCAGAGGAGCCTGTTTAGTACTCTGCTTCATATCCTTCAGATCAGAAGACATTGAGATTTATTTTCTCTCCCTGCTCCAAGTATTTGCAACCTCAACAGCCAGTAAAGAAAGGATAAACAGTGACACTGCTGAAGGACATTCATGCAAGAATTCATCTAAATTCCTGCAGCAATTAATATATCTACTGGGGATTCATCACATTTCTGAGAACCAAATAAACTCAGACATTTACTGTTGATATTAAGACGCCATTTGTCTCACAGCCCAGCAGGACTGGTTTTTTATGGCTCTTCTATCCCATAGTCAATAAGGGAATCAGGAAAATGATTCTTGGATCTCTGCTGCTTTGCTGTTTAATTGCTCTTCATAATAGCTGGAAGCAGCTTTCTGTCTGTTGCTGACACATATTTAGTCCAAAATAATTGTGAAAATCAATAGCCTATGGAGCATGTTACCAGCTTTAAAAGACAACTCCCACACCCCAGGCTGAATGTCCACAGAAGGTATTTGTGAAGTTCTCTGTCTGGACTTCTAACATACAGTCTTCTCATGGAGCCCCAAATTTGCCAGGTTGTCACAGGATGATTACCATAGTCTGTTAAGGCTTTAAACTTTGCCAGCTTCTGAACAGAATATTATATCAGAAATGTTTCTCTATTTTTTCTTTTTCCTCTTTTCTTCCTGAGGTTCAGTAGTTTCATTTGGAATCAAAGACACCTAAGGTTCTTTTATAGTGCTTCAGGCAAATAAATAGTCATGCAGTTCAAGTTCCAGTTTATAGTAAAGAACTGAATTTGAAAATTCTAGAAATGTGATACTTGCAGGTTTATTTTCCTCCTAAATTGTGCTTCTTGTATGCATCTGATGGTGGATTTGTATAAAGGAGCTCCAAAAATGCCAGTAACATTTCCTTGTCTTATTCCTGATGCATCTATGCCCAGTTATATCTGCTGACCTTTGTTGTCAAGTTAAGTTTGTGCTGCAGAATCAGCTGATTTAAAACAGGGAGTTTAATTTATTGATTGTGAATTGAAGTTTTTGTAGTTTTCCCTCATTTTCACAGTGTTCAATCTTTGTTCTTTTTTTTCTAAAAACTCTAGAATGGTTATCCTTTACTGCCATTTCAGTACATACAACAAAGCAGAAGAGATCCAGGTCCCTGCTACACTGCCTCCTAGGGTATCGTTCACAAATTAGGAAGAGGAAAGTTGCATGTAGAGGACCATCCAAGTGCCAGAGATGTCCTCACTGGACTACAAAATCTAAAAGCACTTTTGACTTTCTGTAATGGCAGGGTGAATTTAACTGAACTTGAGATTTCTTTGGTTAATTGAATGCCTGAGGGAGAAAACCTATAGTGACTATTTCATGATTGATGCCAGGAAAAAAATTAGTATTTATGTTAGATGAGAGCATTTAGGTTGATGAAATACAGTCTCCATTATCACCCTTTTCTCATCATGTTTGTGACATCTGAGCACAAATCCAATTGTTACTGATTTGTTCCTGCTCATCTTTTGGCATCAGAATTGGGGTGGCAGGAAATTCACTTGAGACACAGTTATTTTTGATCCTCATACAGAGTTTATATTTTAAAAATAAATGAAGTTATTTTTACAGAAGGGCAATAATGCGTGTGAACATAACAGAAAAATCACAGAGGAGACATCAAATCTTTAAATGTTAAATAAACTGCTTTGCAAATTAGAAGAGTCATGCCAGTTCCCATCCTATCTGAGACCTTTCTGCACTGAGAGTTTGGAAGACTGAACTGTGTTTTGCAATTGACAACAATATTTTTGCTTTAGCATTTTTCTTTTTTTCAAAGACAGATACATAAAGAAAATGTCTCTGTGTATTCTTCAGATTAATTTCTTCTGTATCCAGAATAATATAGTAGACTTTAAGGCAAGAACAGAACATGATGATTCAGGTTGACCTCTGTTGAGGCCAGCTGCTCCTGTATCTGCCCCAGCATCCTGTAGTTGAAATTAATCAACTTGTTATATTTTTTTTCCATAAATACAAAATTTAATGCAAATGAACACTTACACTAATTTTTGTTAGATACACTGACTCCAGATGTCAGGTACATAACCTGTTTGAAAATTTGATCCCTTTTTTCCCCTTAGCCTTTTTGTGATGGATAGGAGATGTATTATTGTGGTCTGGATGACCTAACTAAATGCTTGATTTAACTTATTCATAGTAAAATTAAGAAGGGCATTATAAAAAGAGGCAAAAGCCTGACAACCTCCTGATCCCCAAAATTCTATCCTTTGCCTGGCATAGAGGCTTAACTTCAAGGCAGAATAAGTACTCCCTGTCATCTGATAACTGTTCCTGGGATGGAAAATGGTATGTTAAAAACATGAGTTGTTAAGGCAAAAGTATTAGGAAAGCAGGACAAAATCAGAAAAAAATCTCCACAAGAGTGGAGAAAATCCTGCGACCATCAGGTTTTTCAGGTTGTGTTGACAGGATAGGGCTGGGAACTGTTAACAAACTCTTTTCATTGATTGTATTGTAGTAGGGTAGAAGGGTTGTATTGTAGAAGGGTTTTTGTAGTAGAGTTGAGCTTTATCAAGCAAATGCACATTTCCATTGTGGTTTCTTTTTCTGGACACAATTAACACGCAAAAGCAGAAATTTGGTTTTATGAGTCAGAAATGCATAAATGCTGATATGCACAGTATGCACACCTCTGGTCACACATGTAACTTCCATTTCTGACACAGCAAATTAACTAGACATAGCAATAGTGAAGGTCAAAATCTAATAAGATTATCTGCTTCAGTGTAATGTATTTCATTTCAGTACAAAAATGGTGAAGCTGGAGTAGACATCTAAACCAATACACATGCAAAACTAATGAATACATTTTGTACTGATTGACACAGGTTGTCTTGCTCAAACTTCTTTGGCTCCAGGAATAAAATACCTATTGACCTAGTTCTAAAAATATAGAGGATCAGGTAATATCTTAATTCTGATTTATTTGGTTCAAGATTTGAAACGCTATCACTTGCAGCTGGAAGATAAGCAGTGGTAGGGAACAGTGCCATCATGAAATGCTGCAGACTGAAAAAAATCACCTGCTTGTCCTGGGATGAGTGCCATTGCTGTCTGACAGAAACATTGGGCTGGTTTCTCATCCTCTGAGTGGGATGCACATGTTTCTAATGGAAGAGGAATTTACCTGTACAGCATAAGGGATGAAGCAGCAAGAGGTAACACTTAACATTTCACGTGTGACTTCTTGTATCCAAGTACAGTACTTTTTTTCTTTTTTTTTTTCTTTTCCTAAAGGCATCACACAACCTGGTAAATATTAGAAGCAGATTGTTCATATACTGGAAGAGATTCTTGGCAGCTGTTTCTTTTGGCTGACTCAATTTTAAAATAAACTCCTAACAAAATAATATAAAAAGTGTATGTGGAATATTGTACCTTTGTTTGGCATTTATGCTATAGTGAAAAAAGTTTCATTAGTGTTATCATCATCATTTTTACATGGTAGTTGGGCATCTAGTCAAAACTATGTATATTCATAAATAACTAGGCCTATGCCTGGACTATTCAGACAATATATGACATTAGCTTTCCTTATTGTCATTGCTTTGCTTTTTTTTTCCTCTTTGTTTTTTCTTTTTTTTTTGTTTGTTTGTTTGTTTGTTTTTGTTTGGTTTTTTTGTTTGTTTTTTTTTGGGGGGGGGGGGCATTAGCTTTAAGAGCTGGGTCCAATGTTTTAACCCAATTATTGGATTATTACAGTTACTCCCCTCAGCCCCTTCTGCACAAGCTTTTGATTTCTTGTATTGCAAGTAGGCTGCAGTTAATCTTTGAGGATGTTCTTACTGAAAAGGGAAATTGAGTGGATTGATGTTTTCCTATTTTTCTCTACCTTCTTTTAGATCTTAACCAAAGGTGAGACAGCAAAATGAAAATCTTGCAAAATCTTGGAGTCTGCAGATTAGAGAGATAGAGATATCAGTCTCTTGCAGTCCCATAATGCTTCAGCAAGCTCATACCAACAGCCAATTTGTTCTGCAGAATATTGCAAGAGGCTTTTTATTACCTCTGTTGACAACCAGTTCCTACTCTCCATGCATGATAGAAGGTTTATGAGACCTGAGCTGTCACCTTGCCTCCCCTTTGAACTTGCATCC